ACTACTAAGTAAACAGATGAAAAAATATCAGGATGTCATCAACACAAAATATCCCAGATGATCATGATATTATATGCTTTCTAAAAATTGAGCAGTTTGAATATGGTACTAGGATGTTCTATTTGAAAAGTAAATTTTTTAAATGTACTTTAAAATATTAGGTCTCTTAGTAGAACTAATCCTTCAAAAAACAGATGTGATACTTCATTAAATGCAATACAATTTGATTTGTTCTATGTTATTTCAGAAAATAATACAGACAAACACCATTTAGTTACTAGTCGAAGATCAAAGATACATTCTAAACTGTTATTTGATTAACAAATAAAATAATTTTAGTGAACTATTAACATTATACAAACCTCATCATTTTCTGAACTGCCCATGCTGATCAAGCTGCCAGCACTACAGGTACTTTGGGATTTGGAAGTTTTGTCCTTATAAAAGAAAAACACTAACATAAACATATACAGCCAAACTATAATTACATAATTTTACATATCAATATATATAAAAAAAGTAGAATCTATTCCAGCTAAAGTTTAAACATTATATAAAGAGTAATTAAAATACAGAATAAAAGAATGAAGTAAATTAAAAGACACAGAAATAAACAAGAAAGAATAGGATAATGCAACAATTATAACAATACTATACAAGTTATTCAGGACAGACTTAATTATAGTGAAGCTGTGTTATTATTTAAAGTTGGGAGTTCATTTATAACAGATAAACTTTCTTTAATTAAAGGCATCTTAGGAAAATGAAAGAAGCTGTGTCATACTGTTGACATTAATGAAATGAAATGTTCAAAAGCCCCCATGCAGAGGCAAGGCCACAGATGGTGAATAGGATCCAACATCTTCAAGGCAGAGGCCCTGGCATAACCACAAACCAGAGCCCCATAGTCCAGTTTGCATCAAATGAGGGCATGGTAGATCTTGAGCATGGAACATCGATCCGTTCTCCAAGAGGTAGGAGAGATGATGTGGAGGATGTTCAGTGTCCTTGTAAACTTGACATGTAGCTGCTTTATGTGAGGAATGAAAATAATCTTATGGTCAAAGATGAGCCCCAAGAACTTTGCCTCAGGGGGTCATGGGAAGAACAACATAACTGGGACGGAGATCGGGATCAGGGTGTAAACCCCATTGGTGGCAAAAATGCATGCAAATAGTTTAGTAGGAGAAAGAAAAGGTAAAACCGTTTGCTGTGGTCCACTTCAATAAGCGATTGAGGGTAGTTTAGAGCTGCTGCTCAATAAATTTCATATTCAATGATTGACAAGAAATGTGGAAGTCATTGACATAGAGACCATTTACAACAGTACGAGGAAATTGTCAAGTAACAGCATTGATCTTGATACTGAAAGGTGTGACACTCAAGACACAGCCCTGAGGAACTCCGAGTGTGAAAGAACGAGAAAGGGTCGATCCCACATGGACTTGGAATCACCTTTCTAGTAAAAAATGACAAATAAAAATGAGCAAATGGCCAAGCAACCCATATGAATGGAGGTCCTGCAAACTGCCATACCTCCATGTAGTGACATAAGATAAAAAAGACAGAAACCATATGTTTTATCTTGAGTTTTCAACTCGAATCAGGTGGTCCACGTTGGAATGCTGTCAGTGGAACCCACATTGGGTGGGCAAGAGGAGGTTGGTTGATTAAAAGAACCAAACAAGATGAGCATTAACCATCCTCTCTAAGACCTTACAGAGACAGCTAGTCAAAGCAATTGGACGATAATTAGAAGGAATCTTGGGATCCTTCCCAGGCTTAGAAAAAGGTAGGACAATAGCCTTGCACCAACTATCGGGAAAAATATTCTCCTTCCAGATTCTGTTAAAGACAACCAGAAGAAAGCAAGAGAGGCAGGAGAGAGATGGTGAAGCATCTTATAGTGAATGTCATCAGGTCCAACCAAAAAAAGAGCAAGCTTGAGTTACACTAGTGTAAAGGGGAGATTATAGTAATAGAGATGATTGACCCGAAAAGAAAGAGGTGATCGCTCTGCTCAAAACTTGATGGTCAAGAAAGCAGGGGATGAAACAGAAGTGCTGGAAAGATAAGAAAAATTCTTGACGAGAGTATAATGCTCTGTACATCAACAACTTCTTTGCCATTGGAGAGCAAGATGGAAAGGGAATGGGTAGCATACCTCCCACTGATCTTCCAAATCTTGTCCCATATGACTTTGGAATTGGTGGTAGAAGATATGCTAGTTGTGAACTTAATCCAAGATTCCTTTTGGCTTTGAGCATGGGCACGAACCTTCTGAAAAGAAATGCAGTTGAAAGAGTGGGATATCTGCTAAAGGTATCTTAGGCCAATTTCTGAGCCTTCCATGCATGCTGGTAGGCTGGAGACCACAATGGATGAGAATACTGTGGGAAACATGTCGAGGTTTTGGGCATAGAACAAACAGCTGCTTGAATGATGCAATCAGTTACTGCTTCCACGCAATTGTTAATAGATGTCAGACTAATGACAACAGGATTGAGTTCCCAGAGAGAGATGAAAGAGAGCCAGTTGGCCTGGTCCAACTTCCACTATGGCACTTGGGTTGGGTGGCATTGACCATGGCCAGTCTCTCTCAAAATTATCACTGCCCTGTTGGTCACTTTCAACCCTCCAAGAAAAATGAGAAAAGTGAAGGGGAACAGACAGACAAATCAAGAGCGGTAAAAGACTGACTAGGTGCATGAAAATATGTAAAAGAACCAGTATTGAAGAGAAACAGGTTGTGAACTGAAAACATACACTCCACGGAATGATTCCTCCCATCAATATCAACACCACCCCAAAGGGGATTATGTCTCTCAAGATGAAAAAGGGACATGGCAACTTTTCTATAAGACCATAAAGGTCTGACTGATCATAAGTCTCTCTGGGAGACAGGCAAAAATAACAAACTGACAGGTAGAGAGAATAAACAGTGATGGTACAACCCCAAGGAAGTACAAATGGCTACAGCTTCCAAGGGTGTATCCAGTGGCACAGACAAGGTGGGTGCATGATGGTCAACCAGTAGTGCCACCCCTCCACAAACTCATCCATCACACAACCTTCTGGTATAAAGAAAACTGCTGAAAGGTGACAGTAGCGGCAGGTTTTATGAATGTTTCCTATAAGGAGAGACACATGGGATGATAGGAATCCATCAATGATTTAATGTCATCCAGATTCAAATGGAAACCTTGACAGCTCTACTGTATCAAAGTGGCCATTTTTATTTAGGTGGAGAAGAACTGGGCAGAGAACCCTTCTGTTTGCAACCACGCCCTTTTTCTTTACTAGAAGGGGTCTGTCGACCTCCATGGATCCTGCCCTGGATCGAGTGGGCAGATCTCTGTCAGTAGAAGCAGATTCCAGTGAGTGGGGGGATGAATGAATAATCATTCTGCATCTCAGGGCCAAAGAAAATGCACCCAAGCAGACACTGGAAGCCAGGGCCAAAGGAGATTGATCCGTGCAGCCACTGTGAGCAATAATGGGGACAGAGACAGGAGCAGACATTGACTCTTCAACCAGTGTGAGAAAGACTCTGAAGAAGGCACAGAAAGGTCCATCTACACTCCCACTGTAGCAGTGGAATGTAGTGCAGCAGCATATGTTTGATATGGAGTAGGGAACAATAGCTTCAGAGCTTCGGGTAAGAAATGTTATTCACAGTTTTTAAGTGTTGTATCCCTTTCTCCTCCACCCACTTAGGACAAGAACGAAAATAAGATGAATGGGAACCATTACAGTTAATGTGGTGAGGGTCCAATTGACACTTGTAGGCATCATGAGTACGTCACAGAACCATGGCAAGATGCCTTTGAATGATGAACCGCTGACACTGGAAATATCTGAGAGGGTTAGGAATATATGGCCATACCTTACATTTAAGATAACCTGCCTTCACAGAGGTAGGCGGATGTGGAGATGTAAACGTCAAAATCAGAACATTAGTAGGCTGCATAATTCCTTCTTTAAGAGTGGAGATGCAACTCACCGCAGAAACTACTTGACTGGAGAAACCAGTGAGAATCTCCAACTCAGGGATGTTCCATAAATCCCTTTAAATGATGACTACTCTGGAAGAATTTAAAGTCGCACGAGAAGTAACATCACAGGTATATCTCCAATGGATGTTTCCACCAATAAGTCTCCAGAATGGAGCTTCTTTACTGACTTTGGAGAGCCAGCAAGACCCTCTAAACCTTTCTGACTGAAAAAAGGAGACATTTGTCCTAATGATTTCTCAGTCAAAGAATGATGAGAAAACAAGGTACAGTAACAGCAGGAGATGGAGATTGGAGATCAGAGTCTTCTAAAAGTGGTCCTTTTCCAATTAACTGTTTTTTACTATTTTATTTTTTCAAGGATTGATGAATCCATAATAATATTAGAAAGATTCAGTGCCCACTGACCACACCCACTATGGGGTCCTAAGAGGGGACATACTAAATGCCAAACAAAGGCACTGCAGAAATCCTAGGGCTTCATGAGCACTATACCCAAACGTCAGCATAAGACACAATGTCCACAACACCCAACATTGATACTCAGTTGACCCTAACCCAAGAGGACCAGATGATTGACCCTGGAGGGGCCACCCATCTACAGGTCAAAGTGGTGTGTTGCCGTGCTCCAGACACCACTAACCCACCAGGATCCTCTCCTCCCCTTCATGGGTCACCACGCACGGCAAACATGCGGGTGTATGTTCAGATCACAGAGGAGGTAAACTGAAAATACAGAACCTTCCCTGGGAGGTGCCCTCACCACGTACAGGAATCCACCTTGAGGAGCACATAGCTACGAATGAAGTATTTAAGTGATGAGGTTCTAAATTAATTTCATTCTTTTTTAAAATTTTCATTAGATAAGTAACAGCTGTTTATGGTTTATTAGTTTTTACACTAAAATATGATTACATGCATTAATCTTACAACAAAATAAGTTTATATGTCAGTGAAACTAAATTTCGAAGCAGCTTTTGTGCAAGCCCAAACATCTAATTAAACAGATTAAAAATAATTTCACCATTATGATGTTTTTAGTGTAAATTTTTTTCAGAGTAGAGAAATATCTAAGGACAGATGGATGATATGCTTTACTAAAATTAATGATGTAAACATGCAAGTAGTCTTACCAAAATATGTGATATGTCACTTCAAAAACAAAAACACATGTATCATCAGAAATACTAAACCTCAAAAGCCTTCTATAAATATTCTACAAGATATATTTGTGATATAAGCTTTTGATACTTTTACAAATACATTTATAGATTTATTTTTGTTGATTAACATTTTTCTTGAAATATCTATAAAATGTTAGATCTATGGTTCAGACAAATCTAAGAATATATTAAAGCAATGATTGCTATTGACCACAACTTTTAACACGCAACTGCAAAAAATATTCACAGAGTACTTAAAAT